ACCCAAATCTACTTCAAAATTTGCGGAACGATTGTCTGAAGGGAGTTATGGAGAGTTTTATTCCCGCGTAGTTATTTTACATGCTAGCGCAAGGGAACGTAGCGTCCTGACATATGTGTGAAGAGTCGTTGTGAAACGTAGCAGTAGGGCGCTAGCGAGTGTGTCTCCAAGCTAGAGGTCGTGGGATCGGTTCCCGTAAGCTCGCCCACATTTGCTTTTGTCCAAGAACATGGCCGACAAAGCTTCTAACATCTCTGCTCGCCTGCACTATCCTGTAAGGAACCTGCGACCAGTTTTTTTCGAAAGTGTAGACCCATTGTGGCCTGAAAGAGTGCTTGTGCTTGTCCCCAAGGGTTATTGCAATGAAATAGTATGATATTCACGTTCAACGGATCTATTTACCTTTGCGTACGAGTTTCTAGCCAGGATATTTCGACCTAACTTGGAAAATGTGGGTTATTCCATGGGTAATTAGCAGCAGACTGGAGCTCACCTACCATCGATGACTGGTCTCGGGATGGAATTTTCTCCCGGTAATCAGAAAAATGATGCAGACGGCACAAATAAGTAAGCCAGGTACTGTTGTTTGCGAAAAGACATGACTGAAGAGTTATTTCAGCTCGAAGACCAGTCATCACCAGTAGGCTATCGCTGTTGGCTACCAGTCAGCCATAACCAACTTAACTCTGATTTTTCGAAGTTGTTTCACAACCTCAGATTTCGCTAGAAAGCTGTTGCTAGGGGTTATTAGACACCTTGAACACGAATGTGATACCTATTTTGCACAGAGGACGTCGTGTGTCGCGTTACAGGTGCCAACGCCCCGGCGCCAGCGCGTCTTAAAGAAAGAGAAACAGTAGTGAAAAACCTCTATAACTCCGCTTAAGGGAATCGTTCCGCAAATTTTGAAGTTCACCTTTTCGAGGCGAGTAAACGATGAGCATCTCGTTGCAAATGGCCTGACCTGTTGACCTTTCCTGGTGGGCACAAATTTGCGTTAATGTTTTAGTGAAAGTTAAGCATGAACGTGTTCTTGATCCGTTGCTGAAATTTTGCATTGACTTATGTTCGTTAGGTATTGCATTTGACGAAGCTAGACCTGTAGTGGGGGAGCACTTAGCACTTTCGCTACTTCCTGTAATCGTGTTGAACCATCAGGTGTAGGTCTGTGAGGCCTTGTGAAGCCATGAAGTGGTACGTGTCGAAGTTTGAATTTGTAGAGCTTGTTAACGTGTGTTGAAAAATACCCGCCAACCCTTATAAAGCACTGAACACTCGAAGGAATGTAGTGAGGGTGCAAAATACCCCTTCCCCCCACAAAGCCGACGTGTCTTCCGTTTTGCTACTTCTAACTCAGATGTTGCAGCTTGATATTGTACGTGGTTGTATTCTATAGCGAGCTGGTTGGAAAATGGCGGCGATTCAGGAAATCATTTGGGGAATGGTGTCATGGCGACATTGATATTGCCCAGGTGAGTCCATGCAAATCGGTTTTCAGCTCGAAAATTAGACCTACCAAGTCAAACGAGGGATTGCTTTCGTTCCTTCATGATTCTGAATTTTTTAATAATTTCCAATACTTTCCGCCCTGTGCAATTTTTTGTGAAACTATTTTTCGTGTTCTCGAACAATATTCTGTTTCCATTCTGCGCGCTCAATGAGACGTTTTCAGCTTGCCGATCGTATCATAGAACCACCGCCAGCGCAGATAGATCTTGATTCTGTGCTCCATATGTGCAGTAGTAACCCTGGTATGTACCTTGCTTTTTTCAACTTTCATCAGGATTTTACGACATTTTTGTTGTGTTTTATCTATTCGTTCGTGCAACTCTTTAGTGCAAATTCGTGAAGAGGTGTCACTATTACTGGAAGATATGTATCTGAGGTTAAAACGAAGTCTGTTCGCTGGTGTATCAACGGCATTTTTGTCAATATTCCTCCCATGCGTATTTGTACCGGTGAGTATTATGATCCTGCTTAAGTCCTTTCTTGTCCCGGATTTCTTTTCTTTTGAACTTCGTAGATTGGCTCGACCTCATAGTCAGGGCCCGTCGCATGCACGGGATACCCAGTGAGGGGTAGTATTTGGTCAGTGGAAGGAATGAGGTTGTACTTGCCTTCCGAAAATTGTTTTCAGTTGTTGACTTTTATCGGTTTGTCCTGTTTGAAGTGTGCATACACCTACCCTCTCTCACCTCCCGCCCAGAGGAAGAAAATTCTGAAGAAGGAAAAACTTCCTTCAACCGCAGGAGGTTCCTGCTCATGATAGCTCTCTTTACAGTGTCGAGAACGTAACAGGAAAACAAATACTAGCTTAGTTGTCATTGATCCTTTTATCGCTTTGTAATGTCTCTTTGTACGGGAAATTCGTTTTCTCCCTTCCTTTTTTCTTTCTCGTTCTTCTGTTTCTT